CAAGGGCCTCCTATTTATTAACAGGGAGCTCTGGTGGCCAAGTGGGAAGATGCTGTGCTGCAATTCCAAAGACACACAGTTCAAATCCACTAGCTGCTCTGTGAGAAAAACAAGGACAATCATCAACTGCCTCTGAAAACCCAGTCAAGGGTCAGCTATAGGTCAGTTCCCAGTTATTAATACAAGGTTATGATGTTTTCTAATATCACTACTTATCATTAGGTAAAACTGATGCCTATAATTATGGATTTCAGCCAAGACACTTGCCACTATTTGGTGGTGTAAACCTAGACAAGTTGCTCACCTAATTTTATGTCTACCTTATCTCTGAAAATATCATACTTTATCATTCTCTTTTTAAAATGAAATGTTTCTGTCAAGATTTTGCTTCTTCAACTGAAGCATTTTCTGCTTGCCTAGATAATTCTTCATTCATAACAAAAACAGTAATCCAAAGGAAGCAACACTTTTGCAATTCAGTAGAACGTTACAATCATTTCCACCCTCATTAAAACATATTCTCTCGGCAAAACCTGTAGGAAGCACAAAATTAAGCCCCTGCGAAGTTAAGACATGAGTTAAAACATATTTCCTGCCTTCTGATTTTTTTCTTTTTAAATCTAAAATCATCTGCATACTAACCAAAAGGATATTTTACAGCAACTCCAAGCCCTTCAGAATATGAAAGCACTTGGAGAAGCTCTAGAATAGGGCTATCCCTCAGATGATGATGAAAAGTTGCCTATGTGAGCTGTCCAATGCAGCAGACTTCAGCTACATGTGGCTACTAGGCACTCGGAATACAGCTAGCCAGATGGAGCAATCTTTTAAGTTTTATTTCATTTTAATTAATTTATATGTAGCCGGATGTGATTAGTGCCTACAAAATTGGACACTGAAGCTCTGTAAAACCATAAAAGGCTGGAATATAACAATGTGGTATGCTTCTTGCTATACAATATTTCCACTTACCAAGCCTAATCCTTTAAGTGACATTTTATAAGCACATTTTAAAACATTTCTTATTCATTTCAGAGGAGTCCTGGTTATACAGAGGTTAAGAGATGCTAATCTAAGGCCCCAGTCTGAATCCACCATCCATCTGAGGGAGAAAGGGCAGTCTGCTTCTACAAAGATTACAGCCTAGAAAACTCTAGAAGAAAATGGGCTACATCTACCCTGTGCTGTAGGGTCACTATGAGTCAGGATCAAATAAGCAGCAATAAATTTATCTTCAGTTCATGGATTTAAACTGTTGAAATCTATTGAATACAGGCACAAGAAAAGGATTTTTTAAATATCTTCTTTGAGTTCACATTAAACTCAGGAGGAGGATGACACCAAGTACAGGAAAAAGAACCCCAATAAATACACAAAACTTTTCTATGGAGTCTGAGAAAGGCTGTTCTGATTATACATGCTAAATATAAACTGCGCCTAGCACATTAAAACTTTATACAATTATGACATACATTCAGTTCAATGAGTTATTTCTAATCCCTTTCCTAATTGAAATATCCCTAAAGGGATATTTCTAAGCCCTTTCCTAACATTTGTTTTTCCTAAGAATTTCAATAGCAAATCACACCAGGTTTTTCTGCATCTACTACTTTTATTAGATATCTGATGCCCAGCTACTTCCTTTCATCCTGTGGTTCTTCCAAGGACAATTTCTGTGTGAATTTCAATTCTCAGGATGTCTTAAGTTCCTCCCCTTGTTCCTATTAAAATCAGAGAAATATTTGCTAGGATTTGTTACAAGTTTCTCTTTGGAGGGAAGAATGTTAAAGCTCCCTCTCACATACTTTGGGCAGTTAGCCAGGATAGACCAGACCTTGAAGAAGGAAATCATGCTTGGAAGGGGAGGGACAGCGCAGAAGACGACCCTGGATGGATTGACATGGTAACTGGGGTAATGAGGGTAGGTGTGCTGGAGACAGTGATAGGCTCAGGATAGGGCAGGTTCAGAGCTGCTGTACACAGGGTCACTATGAGTCAGGTGGCTCAATGGCACATCACTATAACTACGAAGTTGAAACCAGGCTGCTCCTTGGAAGCAAGGATTCTGAAGCTTTGTCTGACATACTCTGGACATGTTGCAAGGAGGGAATCAATCCCTGGAGAGGGGCGTCATGCTTGGGAGGGTGGAGGGATAGCACAGGAAAGGAAGACCCTCAATGAGATGGATTGATTCAGTCACCGGAATAATGGGGGTAGGTGTGTCAGAGAGTGAGATTGGCAGAGCATAAAGCAGAGTTTATGGCTGTTGAACACAGGGTCGCTATGAGTCTCAGGTGACTCAACAGCACATAACAACAACAACAACAACTACCTTTTTGGCTCTTTAAGTAATGCCTCCTCCTCTTGGGTTTGATTATTTTGTAAAACTCTCTGTTGTTGTTATGTACGTTTGAGATGGAAACAACTCATAGTTGACTGGCAGTAAACTGCACAGGAGCAAATGGCTCATCCTTCTTCCTCAGAGCAGCTGGTGGCTTTGAACCACCTGCCTTGAGTTGTCAGCACAACTCCTTACTTTAGCTACCAGAGCTCTATAAATGCCAAAAACTTCTATCACAAATCTGCTACAGGGTAGAACTGCTACACTGAGTTTTCTTGGCTGCAATCTTTTCAGTAAAAAAAGGTCACCTAGCCTTTCTTCTACAGTGCTGATAAAACTGCCAGCCTTCAGGTTAGTAAGTGAAAACCTTTTGCTTCACCTAAGGGTTTTTAATCGGAGTTTAAGTCATTATAATGAACTGCATTTCTAATTCATAAGTTCACTGGTTTATCTAGTAGTCAAAAAAACTGACACATTATTTGAGGATGACAGATGCTTTTTCTCTGCTACTCTTTTATTTTATATTGGTTTGCTTAAAAAGTTCGTATACTCTGACATTTTATTTGTTAAAAATAGAGGATCATCAACTCTGCCAGGAAATAATGCTGACTGCCTTCGAGTCGATCACAACTCATAGCGACCCTCTGAATAAAAGGCCTGAAGCCTTTCTGTAACTTTGAGAATGGTCGATTCTCAAATTTCATAGTTTCCAGAGGCCTGTTGTTTAGGAAGTGGATGCCACTCCTGCTTCCAAATGCCAGGAAACAGTGCCATAAAAATAAAGTTCACAGAACAGCAAGCTACAAATGCTGGCGAGGTTGTGGAGAGACTGGAACCCTTATTCACTGTTGGTGGGAGTGTAAAATGGTGCAACCACTGTGGAAAGCATTGTGGCGCTTTCT